AAAATCTAAGCATTACTGCAAAAAATTACACTTCAAAATGATTTATAATTTATACCAGTATATATATATACTAAACTTTGACATATAACCTAAAATCAAATTAAATCCATTATATTATTACTACTTCATGGAAATGTGCATTATATAATTTCATTTTTTTTAAAAACCGCCTACTGTTACCCAAAATGTTTGTTACACTGTCATCTCTTTTCTCTATTTTGAACTGCAATATTTTACCCAGCACTTAACCCAGCATTTTTTAGTGTGTATACAACATGATGAGGGTCAAACTCAATCTCCCTTGTTCTAGGATTGAGTGTTCAGGTAATGAGTCTCCTGACTAAAATATTCAATACAAACCTTGTTTTCAATATGGGAGGCAGGTTTTCAGATTTGGCCTGTAAACAGCCACCTACACGCTAAAAAATGCTGGGTTAAAAAGGGACAAACCCAGCTATTGGGTTGTTTTGACAACCCAACAGCTGGGTCAAAACAACCCAATAACTGGGTTTGTCCCTTTTTAACCTAGTGCTGGGTTATATTTAACCCAGCATTTTTTAGAGTGTAGCAACACCTTAGCAACCTGGAAAAAAAGCCAACCACAAGAATGCAGAGAATGCTAACATTTTAGCATCATGAAGGCGAGTTTCTCCATGGACAAGCATTACTTAGTTTTTCTCTTTTGAAAATGTCTTGTTACTGAGAGTATCCGAGACATCCATTGTCTATTGTGAACAAAAGAGTCTGAGATCTATTAAAGGTGCAGCATGTAATATTGACAGCTAGGGTACTGCAGTCCAAATTCAAAATATTGGAGAGAGTTGTTTTACCCGCTCCTCCTTCTCCTCAAGTCTCCTCGCTCATGAGGGTTGCCAGATTAAAGACACACAACTGGCTGTAGCATTGTTTATTGGAGAAACAAGTGATCTTGTCAAGCATTATTGTTTTTCTGACAAATGAACCATAAAAAAAGCTGTGTTGAATCTCACCATTTCTAAAGTATTGTTTTTGTTCCAACCTCATTTTTGTAGTTTTATACATATCGGATTTGATCATACTGCACTCTAAAAAAATGCTGAGTCTCCTGACTAAAATATTCAATACAAACCTTGTTTTCAATATGGGAGGCAGGTTTTCAGATTTGGCCTGTAAACAGCCACCTACACGCTAAAAAATGCTGGGTTAAAAAGGGACAAACCCAGCTATTGGGTTGTTTTGACAACCCAACAGCTGGGTCAAAACAACCCAATAACTGGGTTTGTCCCTTTTTAACCTAGTGCTGGGTTATATTTAACCCAGCATTTTTTAGAGTGTAGCAACACTTTAGCAACCTGGAAAAAAAGCCAACCACAAGAATGCAGAGAATGCTAACATTTTAGCATCATGAAGGCGAGTTTCTCCATGGACAAGCATTACTTAGTTTTTCTCTTTTGAAAATGTCTTGTTACTGAGAGTATCCGAGACATCCATTGTCTATTGTGAACAAAAGAGTCTGAGATCTATTAAAGGTGCAGCATGTAATATTGACAGCTAGGGTACTGCAGTCCAAATTCAAAATATTGGAGAGAGTTGTTTTACCCGCTCCTCCTTCTCCTCAAGTCTCCTCGCTCATGAGGGTTGCCAGATTAAAGACACACAACTGGCTGTAGCATTGTTTATTGGAGAAACAAATATGTGAACTTAGCAGGTTTTCTAAATATCTGCAAAAAATATTGTTATTTTTATGCTTTATTGCAGACAAAAAATTACATATAGCATATATAAATAAAATAAAGATCAAATCTGTCAGAAGAAACAAAAGAAGGTTTTGCTGTCCAGACTCAGAGCTGAATAGCATTTGATTCTGAACAACTCATCTTAAAGTTGTGCCATGACACTGCGGCTGATTTACTAAACAATTAAAACAATCACATTCATGTATAAGGGCTCTGTTAAAGCTACAAAGAACAATAGGCTACCATAGTCATGACAATTTCATTGACCTTACTGAAATATGAATACTAGCTTACCACCCCACCACCCCAAACTGAACGTTCTATCATAATTTTTCTGACGTTCATGTCGTTCCAAATATGTATGACTTTCTTTCAAACAGGGTTATAGTTGACAAAAACTAAAACCATAATAAATGTAATTACTAAATAAATAAATAAATGTTAATTGAAATAAAATAAAAATATAAACAATTTCTAATTTTCATCTAGTTTAACTAGATGTAATAAAATAAATAAAATTAAAACTGAAATAAAAATTTATAAAAACATCAAAAACGAATAAAAAAAAAACACACACACACACCTTTAACTAAAATCAACATGAAAGCAAAAAATACCAATAAAAAAATCTAATTCAAAATATTAACAACAACTGTAATATCTCAATGATACTAATATAACACTGCTTAAAAGGTCAATGGAGTCCAATGCTGTTTTGAGTTCCTTTGACTTTGATTGTATGGACAAAAACAATTAAAGGGGTCATATGATGCTGCTAAAAAGAACATTATTTTGTGTATTTGGTGTAATGAAATGTGTTTATGCAGTTTAAGGTTAAAAAAACACATTATTTTCCACATACTGTACATGATTGTTTCTCCTCTATGCCCCGCCTTTCTGAAACGCGTAAATTTTTACAAAGCTCATCGGTCTGAAAAAGCGAGGTGTGCTCTGATTGGCCAGCTATCCAGTGCGTTGTGATTGGCCGAATACCTCAAGCATGTGACGGAAATGTTACGCCCCTTACCATACTGTGATGGCGTGTCCGGCCGGAGCGACGACACAAACACATTAAAACACATTATAAACTAGGCATTTGCTGCATCCAGTGGGGACATAATTACTGATTATAATGACTTATACTATGTTTTTACGCTTTGCGTTGCATCGTGCCGCGTAAACATAAAACCCTGTCTGCATTTGTGATCGGAGAAATGACAAACAACAAGCCTACTCTACACTGCTCAAAACTCGCGTTTGAATCATCAGTGGCAAATGATAAAAGAAAACTTACTTATGTGAGTCACTAACGTTATTCTCCCAGGATCAGTAAACAGTCATAAAATGTGCCGGCGATCCACAGCACTAAGTTGATGTATTCCCTCAGCGACCAGCACGGATCAACTCTAGGCATGACGAAGCAGATATCCTCCTCTTTTGGAAGACCAAACAAAGTAGTTTCGCTTTCACAACGAAACACACAGCGTCTTCAGGACATGGCGGCAGCGGCAACAATACTACAGCGAGAATAAAAGTTACGCCTTCTTTCTTTGCGTGAACATTTGGGCGGCGTTATGCAAATCTACCTACATAGTGATGTAGATATGTGGGGGCGTGTTAGAACGAGCCGTTTTAGGTAGGCGTGGCTGACTATTAACTTTTATAAAGATATTTAAATTTGTTTGATGATCTGAAACATTAAAGTGTGACAAACATGCAAAAACATAAGAAATCAGGAAGGGGGCCAACACTTTTTCACACCACTATGTGGGGGCGTGTTAGAACGAGCCATTTTAGGGGGGGTGTGGCTGACTCTTAACTTTTATAAAGAATATCTCTTTGGATTTGAGACTTTAGTCTTTGCAAATTTACAGATCTTCTTTATGCACCAAGAGCTTGTAACACTCCAAAGAGAAAGAAAAAAATGAAATCGCATCATATGACCCCTTTAAATCATCTTTTCTGGTTTCCATAGAAGAAAGCAAGTCATACAGTTTGGAACAACGTGAAAATGAGTAAATAACGACAACATTTAATTTTTTGGTTGAACTATCCCTTTTAAACTAAAGATGACTCTAGCAAGTTCATATCTGATGGCACAGCTAATTCAACTGTAGGCTGACTAATATCAATTTGTGATATTATACCAACTGCATCAACTAGCAAAATATCATTTTGTACCAGGCTGCTGAGTTGATGGTGCAGAAGTCATTGCCCAGTTTTCTGTTAGTGGAGTTGATGTTGTTTCGGTTGACACGTCTGTTGTTGTAGGAGCAACTGTAAGTAGCATTAACCAAACAGAAAACAGGTTTGTGAGTGAATATGTAAATGAAAAAGTCAGTATGTCAACAATTTATTATTTAATCCATTACATCACAAAATGAATCAGGGGCAAGACTTTGACTTTAGTACAGCTACTGTATAAAACAGCAAACTGTTATGTCTTATGAGTAATTTCGCAGTATTTTTGTCACTTTGAGCAGAAGTACGAGTTTGATCAGTCACTCACCGTTAGTGGTCGACTCTCCCACAGAAAAACACAGAAATCCAACAAACAGGATGAAAACGTTCTCCATTGTTCTGATCTTTTAGGAGGAATGTATCTGAATATATATTCCGTGACTTTTCAGGTTTCTAGGCTGTTATGAGGGTGTTGACTGAACTGTCTGAGTCTCATGGGTTTCAACAAATAGTACACACCCCAGCACTGTCGGCACAAACACAATGAGCAGTTGACGGAAGTTATTTTTTTTCCACCTGATAACACTGATTCATCACGGGCCGAAGCATTTCACAAATGTAGGGTTTTATTGTTTCTTTCTTGTTGCTGCCACGTAACACAATCCAAGTAATGAAACAAGACCTGTGTCTGCACTTTAGTTAATAGTTAATTATCAAACTGCGTTATAGTACTTCTCCTTGAAACTAACTTCTAAGAAACGAAAACATAAAAGTGAATTTTAAACAGCCAAAGCTATTTTAAAGAAAAACTGAATTAAGGGCTTTTGCACTTGCTGCTCCGGCTGCTGCTGCCAGCGCTGGGCGGCCGAGACCCTTGCGGGGACGTGACGGAGAGGCCCAAACCCAGATCCACTGTCCTCACTGCAGGGGACGTGACAGACTGGCTTCTGGGACTGCTGCTGGCTGAGGGATTTGAGGATCTGATGCGTTATGTGGGGCACATAAGACAACAATCAGGACTTTCCGCATGTCTGGTTTAAACTGTCACACTTGATTGGTTAATTATGCTGTAATAGCAGCAGATGCACATGTGGAATATCAAACAAAAGCATTTTTGGGAAAAAGGTCAATTATCAAACTGCGTTATAGTACTTCTCCTTGAAACTAACTTCTAAGAAACGAAAACATAAAAGTGAATTTTAAACAGCCAAAGCTATTTTAAAGAAAAACTGAATTAAGGGCTTTTGCACTTGCTGCTCCGGCTGCTGCTGCCAGCGCTGGGCGGCCGAGACCCTTGCGGGGACGTGACGGAGAGGCCCAAACCCAGATCCACTGTCCTCACTGCAGGGGACGTGACAGACTGGCTTCTGGGACTGCTGCTGGCTGAGGGATTTGAGGATCTGATGCGTTATGTGGGGCACATAAGACAACAATCAGGACTTTCCGCATGTCTGGTTTAAACTGTCACACTTGATTGGTTAATTATGCTGTAATAGCAGCAGATGCACATGTGGAATATAAATCATAGTTTGTGGATAAAAGCATGATTATGTGAATACCGATGGAGTGAAGCAGAACTGCGGGCTGAGCTGATCTTTGAGCTCAGACGACTGGATGAAGTGGAAGCGGGAGAGGGCAGGGACAGACCAGCCTAAAAAGAGGAACATAATGACAATAACCATTAGAGTTCATTAGTAACTTCATTTATATGAAAAGGTTAGTAATTACTAAAGCAATTCCACTGATAGCTGACCCCATTGACCCCAAATGTACAAATCTACTACTGTTTAAAAGTTTGGGGTCAGTAAGATTTTTTAATGTCTCTTTGATCAAATTAGAATACAGTCAGATTGAGGTATTCTGATCGTATTACAATTTAAAGTAACAGTTTTCTATTTGAATGTATTCTAGAATGTAAATTATTCCTGTGACGCAAAGCTGCATTTTCAGCATCATTCCTCCAGTCTTCAGTGTCACATGACCCTTCAGAAATCCTTCTAATATGCTGATTTGCTGCTCGAGAAACTTTTCTTAATATTATTAAAGTTGAAAACAGCTGTGCTACCTAATTTTTTTTTTTTTTTGGAAACCATGATGCATCTTTTCAGGATTCTATGATGAATTGAAAATAAAAGACATTTATTGAAACCGAAATCTTATAAATCTATTTACTGTTGCTTTTGATCAGTTTAATGCATCTTTGCTGAATGAACGTATTGTTTCTTTTAACAAAAATAATTTAACATTTTACAGTTACATTTTTATGTTTAACATAAGGTGATTCAAAATACATCTTGCTTGTACTTTCTACCACTTTGTATCACTTTGGCACGGCAGCAATTACATTTTATGATTCCAAAATGTATTGCATTTTGGTTTTACAATGCTTCATGTTGTTTATAAATGATGATATGTCATGCTGTACCTGCATAAAACGTATCTGCAGTGCAGATGAAAGGTCAGGATTCTCCTCCATGGCTTCAAGGAGCATCTTATTTACGCTTTTATTGAAATCTCTGAGTTCACGTAGCTCTATGTCACGTTCCTCAAAGGTCTTCTCTTTGGTGTTTTTAGCAGACCGAATTTCCCTGGTATGTTTGGCACACTGTGACATAAGAACAAGATGAGATTAGAGACCAGGTGCTCATTAGCTTAACACAATAAAATTGGTATAATCATTCATTACTGGCCATACTGTGTATGCATATAAAAATACAGGAGAGACCCGTATATGTATATAGTTGTAACACTTTTTAATTAGCGGGGCATGTTGTCACAACAGAAACTGCCATTTAACAGCCTATTATGAATGCTTTTAGCTATATTAATGACTAATTACTGAAAAATCCTTTGATGATGAATCTGAAAAGATAAAGCAGGAAAACTGCAGGTGGTCAGACCTGTTTGATGGCTCTATTGAGTTTCTCCTCCTGAGAGAGGATGTCTTTGTTGAGAGAGAGCACATGTGCTTGAGTCCTCCCAGTTGTCTCATTCTGGACTGCTTCCTCTTGAAGAAGACCATCCAATGTGCGGGACATGCTCTGAAATATGTGGAAAAAACATGCTTTATGTACTATCATCTAAATTAATTGGTTTTAATTCACATCGAAATATTATTTGTTATTACTGAATCAACCTGACCTAGCTAATTAGCCTTAAAGGGATAGTTCACCCAAAAATGAAAATTACCCCGTGATTTACTCACCCTCAAGCCATCCTAGGTCTATATGACATTCTTCTTTCAGACGAATACAATCGGAGTTATATTAAATAATGTCCAGGCTAATTCATGCTTTATAATGGGAGTGGATGGTAGCCCAAAATTTGAAGTCCAAAAAATTGTACCCATCCATTATAAAAGAAGTCCACACGGCTTTGGGGCTGGGGTGAATAAATGCCTTCTGAAGCGATGGGATGCCTTTGTATAAGAAAAATATCCATATTTACAACTTTATAAACCTTAATCTCTAGCTTCCGCTAACTGTCGTACGGATGTTCACTAAAGAGTGGCGTCCAGCGGATGACGTAGGACGTAAGCGTAGCGTAAACTCCTGTGAGAATATGCTAGTCTCGTGAGAAACAAGTTTTGTTTACAGCAAAGGAAAACCAGTGTCCTCTTGGCTTATATCGAAATCCTCCGACATTTTTCTTTACAAATCCTCGTTTTGTACTACTAATTTGTGACCGGTGTTTTGTTTTGCTCTCTCCTCTGCGCTTCCACGTTCGTCACCACATTTACCTACATCCTACGTCATCCGCTGGACGCCACTCTCTCGTGAACGCGCATATGACAGTTAGCGGAAGCTAGAGATTAAGGTTTATAAAGTTGTAAATATTTATATTTTTCTTATAAAAATGCATCACGTCGCTTCAGAAGGCATTTATTCACCCCCTGGAGCCGTGTGGACTTCTTTTATAATGGATGGGTGCAATTTTTTGGACTTCAAATTTTGGGCTACCATCCACTCCCATTATAAAGCATGGATTAGCCTGAACATTATTTAATATAACTCTGATTGTATTCGTCTGAAAGTAGTATGTGATATACAGCTAGGATGGCTTGAGGGTGAGTAAATCATGGAGTAATTTTCATTTTTGGGTGAACTATCCCTTTATGGTTTTCACTTTTCACAGGGCAGGTTCACAGAAACTTGTTTGACCTGTTGTGAATGTTGATTTCAAACAATGTTTTTAACTGTTATGTTACCCAGTAACAAATATAAAAGTGAAAGGACACACTTTGCATTACAGTGTGTTACACTATATTATGCCACTAACAACTTACAGTTCTGGTACCAGTACCTTTAAAGTAAAGGTGTGGTCACGTTAGTGAAATTTAGGTGAAATTTAGGTAAGAAAAAAGTTGCTGATGCTGCTTATGCAGAAGTCACATTCAAACCAAGCAGTTTTCTGTTGGTCTGTGCAGCAAATTCACATGAGCATGAACATGAGTGAAATCTGCATGGGGAACCTTTTTTGTGATCACACGCACATCTACTGAAATTACTGGAATTTATCTGCAAAATTTCACAGAGCTATGGTAAATGTGACCATACCTTGCTAGTGTTTGTTACACATATTAGACATTACTGTACCTAATTACTAAGCTAATAACAAGAAATATGTGTAACTAAAAAACACTCCAGAAAATATTGACATACTAAGTACATACAGGTGCATCTCAATAAATTAGAATGTCGTGGAAAAGTTCATTTATTTCAGTAATTCAACTCAAATTGTGAAACTCGTGTATTAAATAAATTCAATGCACACAGACTGAAGTAGTTTAAGTCTTTGGTTCTTTTAATGGGGATGATTTTGGCTCACATTAAACAAAAACCCACCAATAATCAGTTACATTACTTTAATAAAGCAATTGAAATAATTACACTACTTATTACATTTTAAATAGGGTAACCTGTAAACTGTAACCGATTACATTTACAAAGTAACCTTCCCAGCACTGCCTAACAGTAACCGTCAGAACATTTTCTGGAAGTCAATAGTGAAAAAAAGTGTCAAAGATGCGACACCCTCTCCCAATATTTCACGCCACAGCAAAAATCAAGCGTTGTATAATACCCCCAGGCCAATATATTGGTCACACTGTAGTTAAGCAGTTATAAAACATAAAAGATTGATGTTCTTTTTTTTCTCTCAAAATTATGCATATTTTTGTATATATTTACACAAAGTGTAAACATGATGTAAAATTCGCATTAAAGAAGATCTGCATATTTATTTATATATTTATTCATTAAGCAGAAGATTACTGCTACCTAGCTGAAAACAAACACTTATCAAATGAACATGACATGACATTACCACTATGACCAGTAGATGGCTGCAGAGGATCCCTGATTCATGTATTCACTTGCCGTTTCCACTCCCTTATGTATAGTTAATAAAAGGGTGAGCGATTTATGTAGTTACTTGATAATAATATTTTGAGCTCATTTAAAATTCTAAACAACAACAACAAAAAAACTTCTGTGTTTATATTTTGATTATTTATAAACTTTTATTAAAGAAATGTGTAAAATGTTGCTCATCAGAATCAAGGGTTCGATCGAAAAATGTAGGCCTGAATGTTAAATGCAGTGCAGTTAAAAGTATGGATAAAAGTAGCCTATGTAAACGTAAGAGCCCTTGAGCAGATCAGATAAGACCAAATGAATGAATGAATGAATAGTAGGCTAATAATAATAATAATAATGATGATAATAACCAAAAAAAATGAATGTGTTATTTTCTTTCCTTTAAGTAAGTGTGCATTAACGTTTCAAAGGTTATCATAATTAAAAGTTAAATCTGTCATTGCAGCTTTTTGAAGTGTGAATTT